ATATTAACCATTAGTCATTATCATAATGGTATATTTGTGGTTGAGGAGCAATTTACTACACCCCCCCCCATATTTTGTAGCTTTGGACTCTAGGGAAATTGTTGGTTTGAAGCTCTCTATATAACCCACCCGTTATCCTATGTACTAATTGTAAAGGCTTAAGATTAATTGTTCGTATGTTTATATATTGCTCGCTACTTTATAAGTCCACATTTATTCAGCTGTCCCTGTTTCAATTTATTTTTCTATTGTTACTTACCAATCGCTTAGTTTTAGATTTGTTTCGATAATTCTATATTTCTTTTCTAAAACTTTTAAACTTTTTTTTTTCAGAGCACTACAGGTTCAGGCTGACCCCCAAGTACTAGATAACCTAGGTATACTTTACATAAAGTCTGGTAGGTTGCAAGAAGCTCGGAAAGTTTATCGTCAACTTTTTAACCAGTTTAGCCAATATCAAGATGGGAAAATACATTATGTAAGTAGGCCTTTTTGATTTTCAAAATGTATATGACTTTGGAGACTTCTTTAACAGCGGACGTGCGTGCTGCGAAATATGTGAACAACTAAATTTCAAGTCTCAGTTTTGTTGGTTTTTTTTCTTTGCGCTTTGGTTGCTCTTGAGTAAACGAAAATAGAGCGAAGTTGGCATATTTATAATGTGTTTAACTATAATTATAAGGTAGAAAAGTAGCTCCACTTTTGAATTTTAAATTTCTTGCATAGAAATAGTAAAAAAAGCATTTGTTTTAGGCTATTAAAGAAAAGTTTGTTTGTCGTAAAGCATAAAGCTACACGATGAACTATCTTTGCCCACCGCGGGTATTGAAATTCAATTTTTAGCATTATAACCCCACTGACTTACCACTAAGTCAGCGGGGGGCTTGAAGGAAAGAAAACAAAAGAAATAGTAACAACTAGAATGCTAACATATTAAGAATATTATTATTTTTTCTTTCGTATTAAGAGTTCCCCATTGGCACAGCGATACATTTGAAGGCTTGTAACGCTAAAAACCGGGTTTCGATACCAGTGGTGGGCACAGCACAAATAGCCCATTATGTAGCTTTACGCTATGGTACAAACAAACAATCGAATTTATCTGTTATTCAATAAGAGCTATCTTAATACTTTAAAGATGGGTGAATTTTGTATTAATGTGATCATTCAACAATAATATACTTTAAGGTCATTTTTTATGCAGTTACTTACGACACAATAAATTATCTGCTGTGTCCACTATGGAGAAGCGAACCCCGGATTTTAGCTTTAAAAGTCCTTAGATTTTCCGCTGTCTCACAAAGGGGACTCTGGGAAGCAAGCTACTTTGATTCAATTGCACCGACATGTAAAACACGTTTAATCGATAAGTAATTATAGAAAATATCAATATTTGTTTTAACAAATATGCAACTAATGAATCATGAATAATAAAGTTAAAATCAGAAAGTTAACGAATAATGTATAATCATACGTTTTACTATTAAATAATAAAAAGGCTTACGCGGTATCATAAAACTGTTAATGTTTGAGCACAAACAACAGAATATATACATGTTATTTGCTTAATGCTATTTCAAAAGAGGTCAATCATTTGTAAAGGCTATGACATAAAAGTCTAATACTAGTTACATAAGCGATGACGAACGGTTTTTCACTGTTTTTATCGAAATTCTATCAAACTTTATGAACACGTTTTTCTGCAAGCTTAAGTTGCAAAGTCAAGTTAATTATTTGCTTTTTATGTTAGCCATGGATTAACGGTTACGTAGTGTTTGTAGTTATACTTGTAAAATATATTAGCTCCTGTAAATTATATGCAAGTTGAAAGGTTTCGAGAACTTATAACAATGCTCATGAAAGTTGAGACATGAGTTGTATATGCAGCTAAGTTTCTAATAAGAGTTCAACTCAAATACTTGCATTAGATCTGAGCAAAGGGGTTTTGAAATCAATGAGCATTAATTGTTTGGTGTTTGTGATGAAGTGACTTAACATGAAAGAATCATGATTACTGTGTTTTCTTTACCTCTGTTTACTCTTTACACTAGTCGAGTAATAAATAAGGAATATCTTTAAGCGTTTATCTTGGATTAAAAAGAATTATTAAAAACTCATTTTTCAAACATCCAAATCTAGGCTAAAGTTTATCTCAGTTGAAATTCTTTTATCTCCCATATACTTACATAGTCCATGAATAATATCTGTAAAAAGATCATAATTATTGAACAGTATTATGGCTCAGCACAAGAACAAAATCAGTTGAATGTTTCATTTTTGAGTATTTTTATGATATGCTAGAAGTCGTGAAATTTGAAGGGTATAAATAAGCAGGTATAGAGGTAAGCGTCCTGCTATGTTCTATTCAATCTGTATAATTTTCGATAGCGATTTTCTGCTCAGGTATAGTAATGGTCACTATTCATATATTCTGATGCAACATTAACGTTTATACCACATAGAATAATGTGTTATTCACTACTTTCGTTTAGACTGGTGTAATATTCTAGACTAATTTAATAGTTATTAAATTCTTTAAAGGCTAACTTAGTACTCATAATAATCTCCTGTACTCGATGAAAATTTCATTGGTATCTCATGGATTGGTCAATCTGTATACTACTAAAACTACGAGATTGTATGTTTGTTTGCTTGTCTGTAATTAAATACAGCAAAAACGGCGCAACCAGCGCCATATTTATAATAAAATGAAATGGAACTGAGAATAGAAACAGAATAAAACAAGTTTAGTTAAAATCGGGCCACAGGTTACCGAGCTAGCGTCGTTTCTCGGGTCACTTTTATGAAAATTTCTAGCATGAGTAATTTTACATCACATTACCGTTCGCGCTCTTTACGAAACTTCTTCGTTCAAATCTATTTCCCTGTCAATGTTCTCATCTTCATTGAAAAATGAAATGGTTTTTCCTTTTACTCCCGATCAACAATCAAATATCTTTTCTTGAATTATGAATAACACGAATGGATAGAAATATTTAATTAAATTATCTCAAAATAAACCTTAATTTTGGTGCAATATTGAAATTAGCTTGAATTCTTCATAACCTCTGAACAGTGGGTGACCCAACGGGTTACGGGTGGTCTAGTTATTTAATATTCCCCTTTTACTCCTGTTAATTGTTCATCATTGAAATAACAGTCTGGTGTAATTTCATTTCTCACTTTCTATGATGGTGTAATATTCATCACACACACATATTCTCTATAGAACTTATAACAATCACCTACTATTCCATAAAACCACGAAAAAAATTTTTTTTTTTTTTGTAAATCAAGGCACTCACACATACGTACATACAGGTAATGTGTAGTATATGTTTTTACAGAAAATATAGTGTATTAAGAAATTATTAATACTTGTAAGATATCTTTTCAGAAAGTACAGTATTATCTCACGGATAATTTAATAAGAAAACTTAGATTTAGACACGAATAATTATTGTTCAACGTAGGTATTGCCACTAGTTAGGAATAGAAACGTTAGTATGCAATTATGAATTTATACATCAAAGAAAAGCTGTCTGAAATTGTGTATTTTACGTTTATGCCAGTTGAATTAATATTACATCAACAACAAAAAAATTATTTCTCTACAAACTTATCTAATAAATCCCTATCGAGTTACTATGATTTTTTCTTCAACTTAAACGTAATGACACGCAAGATAAGCCAATAGAAACCTTATAAGCTGAAGATGCAAACAAACTGGTCTGTTTGTCGACTAGGCGGCGGTGGTTGAATAATTGCAGACGACAAACCACCCAAACCCAGCGGGATTTGAAGAGATAGAAATCGACCCACCGTGACGTCATGCAGACGCGGAACAATAGAAATTATGGAATCTGTGATTTGTTTTTCTTTGATCGGAATGAATTGCTTTGCAAGAAAAAAGATCCGAAATAAAGCAACCCGAATTTATGAATATGTACTCGTGGGTTGTCAGTGGTTTGATGTTGCAATATGGTAACAGCTAGAGATGTTGAGTAACGAAGAAATTTAGCAATAATATATTATGATACAACGAATTAGTCAAAGTCGTTGTAAAGGAAAAATAAATATGAGATCATCGTTTTGGCCAATCATCGTCCTTCAGTACACATATTTTGTTTTTTTAAATACTTTTTTTTTAAATGTTGATCACTTGAAAGTTTGGTTTTGCTGGTTTGATAATTGAATATTTAATGGTTGGTTGTAACGAAAGTACGTGCAGAATGTGTACAGATCGTTTGACAGCATGCTGTTCAATTTTTAAAACTAGTTATGGAAAAAAAATGTCATTTCTGATATTGTCTTACAACATCGTCAGAAGGCCTATCTGTTAAGGGTTGTGCGAAGTTGTAATGGATATGTTTGTAATTTACTAAACGTTGCATTATTCATTCATTAAAACACAAGGTTGTGTAGTATTCTGAACAGTACCTGGGTTGGTAATTGGGCTGATATCCTATTGCGTGAGAAGGAAGCTAAATACTACTCTGGTTCTGTTTATTCCAACCAATAAGGGATTCATGCTTCCTATTCTGTTTCTGTTTATTCCAACCAATAAGGGCTTCATGCTTCCTATTCTGTTTCTCTTTATTCCAACCAATAAGAGCTTCATGCTTCCCATTCTGTTTCTGTTCATTCCAACCAATAAGGACTTCATGCTTCGTTTGATCTTTCATGATGACTCACAATTGTGTGAGTAACTGGCTGCAACACACAATTCAATTTCAATCACTAAAGCAGCAGAGATAATATTAGAAAAAAGATCATAATAACCTAATTATAATTCTTTTCTTCCAAAACTCATCCGAGTTCTTCTTTCATACGATATTTTAGACTTGCCTTAAAATCCAATTGGCACTTAATAAAGCAGTGTGGCATATTTTAAAAAAATTGAAAAAGTTGAAAAGACTTAGTGCGTAAACTATTAAATGTCATAAGAGTAGACAAAGCAACGTAGCGAAAAATGAAAAGGTATCATCTCAGAAATATCAGAAGATGTATATAAGTTACGTCATTTAACTAAATTGAGGTATGGTAGTGTGATGAACCGTACTGATTCCCAACATAAAACGTTACGGTAATGAAAAGCACACCAGGAGACTCGAGTGCCCAGAGATCTGCACCTTGGGCTCTCAATATATTAAGTTTACTATCCATAAACACTTTGGACTTTAAGCATTTTATCGTGCTTATAAAACGTCTAAAAGCAAAGCAATAGTGAATCTATGAAAATATAATTTCCGAAATTATTACTTTAAAAAGTACATTAACCAAGGCCAAATACAAAACGAAAATGTCTCGAATAAATTTAGTTATATATGAGACTGGTAGAAACAAAGTTGTTGAACATATACTTATTTGTTTTATACTCCCTCTTCTTTGATTCTCAAGCCTTCATCATTCTCGAAAGTGTTAGGACTAACGACAAATGTAATTATTGCGACGAGTCTAGTTCGTAGTTATATATTTTGTTTTTATCACCGACACGAGTGCTCATTAGTTCAGCTGTATACATAACAAACTGTCGAGAGGTCACAATCACAAGTGCAGGAGAAATAAAGATAAATTAATTACGAAGGACTGAGAATGTTAAAAACATTGTTTTTTTTTTTAGGGATAACTGCATCTCTGTGCTTCTCAAAAACAAAAGAAAATTAATAACGAATTAACTTTAGCACTGAACCTACTACTATATCTGGAAGTTGTAAACAAAAAATAGTATTGTGTAGTTTACAAGTAATGATCTCTATAAAAATTATTAAAACTAATTTTTCTTAATGTGACGTATGTTTTAAAAGTTCACGTTTTCCAACAAAGTAAAGTTTAATAGAAAGTGGGAGCTGTGTAATAGACAACGATAATATATTTACAGAGTACGAGTGTACATTATGTCTGTATGCACATATATATAGATAAATTGAAAGGTTCAAAACGTGACATAGTTTTGTTCTACTTTTGGATTGTTTGAAGCTACACAATGGGCTATCCGTGCTCTGCCCAACACGGGTATCGAAACCCGGTTTCTAGCTTTATAAGTCCGCATTACAATTTAGTAAACGTGCTGCATTAAAGAGTTTGATATAAGTGGAGACATTTCTAACACAACTGAATGCCATTAACTGTGTCAGCACAGCATTTTAAAAGATGTGCTTGTTCTCCTAACTTATAATTCGAGAAGCAACATAGGAGAATTCTCCTTAGTAAACTCGCAGTAGTTAAAGTCAAAATATCCTTGTTTTATTTCTTCTAGAATTCTATGGATTCCTTAGGGAAAATATTGACTTTATGTTATAACTCATGATTAATAGGATAAGAGAAACATAGTCGTTGGTTCATTCTCAGCGACCCGTGTCTCTAAAATTGCTCTAAACCAATTTTTAAACTATTGAAAAAAAAGTATTTTAAGTATATTTCCTTTCATTCCAAGCCCCTAGCAATCGAAGTCACTAAAGCAACATAAAAAAGGCAGGAACACTTGATGAGATATTTTTTCTGTTCTCAGGCACAGCTGTTACTGCAAGAACGTAGTTTTGAAGAAGCTGAAAGCGCCCTCTTATCGGTAATCAAAGGAAATCAAAGCTTTCAGGATGCATACCATCAGCTAGCTTTACTGTATACCCACATAAACAGAAGCGCCGAGGTAAGGATGTAAATCTTGTATGGGTGTTAGGTATCTACATATTTGTTTCGTGATAAGTTTACGTTGGGTTACTCAAACAACAGAACTACCGAGTCAAGGGTTTGTTCGTTCTGAGAATGATAATTGTTGATAGAGTTGTTTACGAGTTAAACTGTAGTACCCATATGGTCACACAATTAAACTGTATTTAATATTTTCAAACAGTGGATTATTTTCTTAGGTAAACAAAACGAATCTCATTTCTATCCTTTTTATAACAAAGTTGTTTTGGTTTGTATAATGTTAAGCACAAAGCTACACAATGGATTATCTGTACTCTGCCCCTGTGGGTCTCAAAACCCGATTCTCAGGCTTACCGATAAGCCACAGGTAGAACCAATTAAAACAAGCAAAATATGTAATAAAAGAAGTTTTGGAGGGAAGATAATGCCAGTATTTAAAGGTATCATTTGATCTTTTACTTGGATGAAATCAATTTCGGTTAGGATATTTGATTAGATTGTTTTTGTGCTGGAGTAAAGTACATCTGATTTATGTAAAGCTCAGTTTAAAAAAATTATCAGAAGTGAAAGACAGATCTTTACGTGTATTTGTTTGGACCTTGAGTGTGTCTCCGTTTTTTTACTAGTGATGTAAAGATACACATTTGTACCTGAAGTTTTTTTACTTAGACTAATGATGTTTGATCAGATGAAACGTTAAGAGACAGAAAGTGTGTCTGATTTGGTTTGACTGATAATGTTCTAGGGGTTAGAGCGTATCCTTCAAGCGATCAAGCTTTGTTCTAGCACGGAAAAGTCATGTGCGCAGCTCTATGTCTGTCACGGGGACATTTTGAAAGACCTTAAGGACCTGAACGCTGCAGCTCAGGTAACTCCTGTTCTATCTTTAGCCTTGTAACTCTACTCCAGTAATGTATCAGTTAGTTTTGTGATTAATACGTTTCTATTCTCAGGATTTAACATTAAATGAAGATAAAAAAAATTGTTTAAAGAAATATGGAGCGATATCGCCTGAAAACTTTTACTCTATGGAGCGATATCGCCTGAAAACTTTTACTCTATGGAGCAATATCGCCTGAAACTTTTACTCTATGGAGCAATATCGCCTGGAAACTTTTACTCTATGGAGCGATATCGCCTGGAAACTTTCAATCTATGGAGCGATATCGCTTGAAAACTTTCAATCTATGGAGCGATATCGCTTGAAAACGTTTTTATAGGTTTACTTTGCAGTATATACAAACATAAAAAGTTTTATTTTTTGTCTCAATCGAAAAGTCAATGTATCATGAAAAATGCCTCCTGTAGAAGTTTATTAATAATAACTGATATGTAATTTTACTTTTTTAAACACAATTGGACAAATTTCAGACCGAACGTATGTTACTTTCGAGAAAAATTGTATATCACTATTATCACATGTTTTATAGTCTAAAGTTTGATCACTATTATTATATGTTTTATAGTCTAAGGTTTGATCACTATTTTCACATATTTTATAGTCTAAAGTTTGATCATTATTTTCACGTTTTATTGTCTAAAGTTTGATCATTATTATCACATGTTTTATAGTCTAAGGTTTGATCACTATTATCATATGTCTTATAGTCTAAAGTTTGATCACTATTATCACATGTTTTATAGTCTAAGGTTTGATCACTATTATCATATGTTTTATAGTCTAAGATTTGATCACTATTTTCACATGTTTTATTGTCTAAAGTTTGATCACTATTTTCATATGTTTTATAGTCTAAGGTTTGATTACTATTTTCACATGTTTTATTGTCTAAAGTTTGATCACTATTTTCACATGTTTTATTTTCTAAAGTTTGATCACTATTTTCACATGTTTTATTGTCTAAAGTTTGATCACTATTTTCATATGTTTTATAGTCTAAGGTTTGATTACTATTTTCACATGTTTTATTGTCTAAAGTTTGATCACTATTTTCACATGTTTTATTGTCTAAAGTTTGATCACTATTTTCACATATTTTATAGTCTAAAGTTTGATCACTATTTTCACATGTTTTATAGTCTAAGTTTGTGCTCATCTTCAAAACTTGATACATTAGCTAAATAATGTAAAGCATAACGGCATATTCTACATTTTACATAAAGACTAATTCTTCGAATGTACGAAACATAATTACCTTACTGTTTGTAATTCAGTGTACTCAAATTATTAAATAATATATTTTTCTAGAGCTACAATTTAGCTGTACAGATTGATCCGAATATTGCTCACGCTCATCTCAACCTTGGTGTAATCCATCATCTGCAGGTACGTGTCAGTTAAATATTGCTCACGCTCATCTCAACCTTGGTGTAATCCATCATCTGCAGGTACGTGTCAGTTAAATATTGCTCACGCTCATCTCAACCTTGGTGTAATCCATCATCTGCAGGTACGTGTCAGTTAAATATTACTCACGTTCATCTCAACCTTGGTGTAATCCATCATCTGCAGGTACGTGTCAGTT